TGTGTGTGTGTGTGTGTGTGTGTGTGTGTGTGTGTGTGTTTGCGTGTTCGTGTCTGTGCTGTGCGTTAGCGGTCGAGGACGTGGGTCTTGTAGAGGCGGTTCATCTGCTCCAGGAAGATGAAGGTGAGGACGGTGTGAGGTCCGAGACGAGCGTAGTACGGAGTGAAACCTTTCCACAGAGAGAAGAACCCTTCTTTACCCACCACACGCACCAGCACCTCCTGGTGGACAGAACAGACTCGGTCAACAACAACAACCTCAGGTTTAAAGAATCAGAAATAAAAGTTGTAAAATAACAAAACAATAGTTTATGAAAAACCTGAACATCATAAAAACATCTTATATTTCAATATGAGAACATAAGTCAAATGTATTGAGAGCTTGTGATTTATTTAATTAGATACGGTGATATGATTTTGAAAGTCTATTTTTACAGGGAAGACTCAGGGCTGATGTGATAACATGAAAGGTTACGAAACCTCAAACATGCGTGATCAATAACATGTATGATAACAAAGGTCAAAGGTCAGTTTACACTGTAAAACACAGGAGTTCAACATATTTTCCTTTTACCTTCTATGTAAAGAGCCTTGAGATGATGCATATTATGATTTTGTGCTATACAAATAAAATGCAATAGTCCTGAGTGTAACACTGATACTTTTACTTCCTGTGATGTCATTTCCTGCAGAATCTTCACATGCTTCTCTAAAATCTGTACAACCTCAGCTTAAAGGTTCTGTGAGTAAATAAACTTTAATAAAGGATCCAAGAGCTGAGAATGTGTAATAAGTGAAATAAATACAAAAATCTGACGTTACCGTCAACACAACATATTCTAAAGATTCTAAATGTTTCTTAAAGTTATCTGAACTATGAACACATTTTTAGTTTTTTAAAATAAGAACATTTGCTCCTCTCAGAAACTCTCTAGCGCCACCATGTGTTATCAACCTGGTTCTCACTGCACGTATTAAAAGGTCAAGACGTCATCATGAATGTACAACAGTTTTTATTTCAGATTGAAACCTCCACCAGTCGGTTTTCAGACAAACTCACCAAACCGTTCTTGTATTCCGGTTTCCCGTCGATCATCCTCATGTTCTGAATCCTGGAAGAAAAAGAGTCGCTCTTGATCTCAGCTGAAAACAACATCAGTGTCGTCGTCACCGCGGCAACACCAGACACTCTGATTGGTTTAGAGTCTCACCTGGTCTTTACGATGTCCACGGGCATGGAGGCTGCTGTGGTAACGAGGCCGCTGATCATACTGGCACAAAAGTGACACAGAATATTGTCCCCGAAATACCCTGAACACACACACACACACACACACACACACACACACAGTTACACTTGGCTCAGTTGGAATGTTGGAGTCTGTGTGTATTTGTGTGTGTTTCTTCACCTGAGTCGAGCAGCGCCTGTTTGGACTGAGAGTACGACGCCAGCTGAGCTGCGTTCACCACCACCGCTCGAGCCATGGTGGGGACACACCCCTGTCCCCCCCCCACACACACACACACACACACACACACACACACACACACACACACACACACACACACACACACACAGTTACACTTTGGCCACTAGGGTGAGGGTCGCTGTCTTTTAGCCGGAGAGACCTTCAATAACAATAACAACAGCAGACCCAGTTTGATGATGTCATGCAGGAGCAGCAGTGTGGGATCATGGGAGTTGTTGTCTTCACCACGACTGGGGTTAGTTTCAGTGTTTTATGTCGTTACACAACAAACGTCAACTGATGATCGTGATCTAGGAGCCACCAACACAAACAGTGGAAGGCTAACTAGCTAACTGGCTAACGGTGCGTTACCTTGATGAAAACGTACCCGATAAGTGAAAAATGAAAAGTCGGACTCACCCTCCACAGAGTGGCGATGCCTTCTTCTCTGGTGATTCGAGCGAGAGCATTAAAAACGTTGCTATAGCCCCTCCTCTGGTCTGGAGGGAGACTGCAGGTGAACAAACAGTTTTATTTAGAAATAAAGTTTTAAGAACACATTTGCGATGTGATGTCTTTATTTATTTATTTATTAGTTTTAACATGTCATCATGTCAAAGTGTCACTTTGTCCTCCCATTGTCCCTCTGGCTCTTCTCTCTATCTCGTTTCAGATAACTCCGGCACCGGGACTACAGGACCACAACGACCACCATCACCATTGTCTGCATTTATTACAAGAACTCAGCAATTCATTAATATATCTAGTCATGTTGTAGATCTATACATTGTTATTGTTATAGTCAGCCTTGATTTTGATGGTGCCAAATTTATACCGGTCTCTCTCTCTCCACCTCATCTCTCTCTTCTCTCCCCACCCATCTCTCCTTTCCTCCCCCTTACTTTTCTTTCCTCACCCCAACCGGTCGAGGCAGATGACCGCCCACATTGAGCCTGGTTCTGCCAGAGGTGTCTCCCTGTTAATGAGGGAGTTTTTCCTCCACAGTCGCCTGTGCTTGCTCATTGTGGGAACTGTTGGGTTTCTCTATGTTAATATTGTTTTAAGGTCTTGACCTTTAAATGTAAAGTGCCTTGAGATAATGTGAATTATGAATTGGCGCTATATAAATAAAATTGAATTGAATTGAATTGAATGTCTCAGGATACACACAGCTGACTCACCGTCCGTCAGCAGTCATCCGGATCAGAGCGACCTCTGCTGGTGTCCCCACAAATGCTCCTGTAGCTCCAGCTGTCATACCGATGAGAGCCTGCAGGGGGAGCACTCAGTTACCGTTGGTTCTCTGTAAACCTCTTCTGTTTCATTCAACGTTCCCAAAACTTAAAACTCATCTCTTACTGTAGAATCACCGACATTTTTTAAAATAAATAAAAACCAACAGATCTGAGATTTTTTATTCTGAAATATCGATGTGGTAAAACGTGACATAACGTGTCATTACCTTGAGGAGGAAGTTTGGCGGTCGTCCGTCAGCTCCCGTCATCTTCTCAAACAGGATGGTGTAGATTCCCAGACGAGTCGTCGTATACGTCGCCTGACGCAACAAACCAGCCGACAGACTGACGGAGGAAAAAAGAAAGTTAATTAAAATGTAAACAACTGAACATGTGTCAATAAAGATCATTCAAATTTGTCGGCAGGAGCTACACCATCAAACAGGAAGTAAACAGGAAGTGTCCTCAAAGACCAGGAGAGACCGACAGAGCGACAGATAGATAGAAGTGATAGAACTACAGATAGAGTGATAGACCCATAGACAGAATGACAGAGCTATAGAGAGTGATAGATAGACAGAACAAAAGATAGAGTGATAGATACCCGGTGTAGATGCCCGTCACGCCCTCGTTCTTCAGGATGGAGAAGAGGGCGTGGAAACTGGTTTTATATTCCCGGGCCTTCGTTCCCTGACCACTGAGCTGCATCCTGTTCTTCACCAGATCCAACGGCTGAACGAACACTGTCGCACCCATCCTGAGAGAGAGAGAGAGGGAGGGGGAGAGGGAGAGAGAGAGTGAGGGAGGGAGAGAGAGAGAGAGGGAGGGAGGGAGGGAGAGAGAGAGGGAGGGAGGGAGAGAGAGAGAGGGAGGGAGCGAGAGAGTGAGTGAGAGAGAGGGAGAGAGAGAGAGAGAGGGAGGGAGAGAGGGAGGGGGAGGGAGAGGGAGAGAGAGAGGGAGAGAGAGAGGGAGGGGGAGAGGGAGAGAGAGAGAGAGGGAGAGA